TGCCTTGCACGCCTTCCCCAGAAACCATAGAAAGCACCATAGGTAGAGCTCCAGCTTCCACCTCTGCGTGATTCTCCTCTTTCCAATCGTTCGATTTCACTCTTTATGTGCTGAAATACTTCCGTACAGAACACCTCATTTCCTGGGTTTTTGTCGGGATGCCACTGTAGAAACAGTCGCTTGACAATTCGTCTTCTTCTTTCTTCTGGCAAATTCCATGCTTCTTCAAGCGCTCTTGAAATTTCATCAAAAATCTTCTGTTTATCTGTCGTGGAGTGTGAGCTTCTTTGTTGGTCAGATAGGGCTACCTGAGTTGATGTTATCTCTTGGGCACGGTGAAATTTGTACAACATAGTAGCCTCGACAATTTGTGGCTCCTTGCCCTCTCCAATGTTGATCTTGTAAAACTTCGAAAGGAGGCTGGCATGGTCACTTGGCATTTCTTCGATTATCACAGCGTAGATGTAGGTGGCATCTCCTTCCTGCAGCTCAAGACTTGGATCACCTAACTCGTACCCCACATATTCTCCGGGAGTAAACGCTTGAAACGCCGGATTCAGAAGGTTATGCATTGCTATAGGAATGAAACTACCTGGTGGCGGAAAGACGTCTCCTTTGTCTGTATCATAAGAGTTGTCTTGACGAATATTCCTCCTATCCAGTAAGGAAAATATCTTCCCAGGTTGGCTGAGCAGCATGGCAGAAATGTAATGCGTTGTGTTCCGCAACAGCCCTTTGCACGCTTCATCGATCACTTCTGTTAACGTTAGAATTATCGCAGAGATTGTTTCCTCTGCGTCTTCGACGATATTGACGTAAACTTTCCAAATTTCTTGACCCGACTGCAAAACCTTCTCCAAAAAGTATGGCACTTCAATTTCACTCCCACGAATCACTTCCCCATTATGAACTAAATGAGTGACAATTTTATTCATACCAAGCAATTCGATACTTTGTAAATTGTTCCTCACAGTTGCAACCACAGCTTCGTCAAGACCACAATCTTGATTAGCGTGACGAATAAGCCTGACAATTCCGCGGTAGAATTCTTCTGAGTGCAGCTGCTTTCTTAATGAGCTAGCAGCACCAACATCAAAACGCTCGCTACAGCCTTCAGATTCTGCGAATTTCTCTATGATTACGCATGACATCATCTTTGGCTGTACAGCTGTGGGAAGTAGCACGATTAGGTCCTTGTAATTTGCATTGCCTTTGCAGACAACATTGGCTCTCTTAAGATCCACCACAAATGGCAGGTTGAAGTCGTGAACACGATCAAAGTAGTGAGGAGCGTCATTAAAAATAAGCTCGGAAGCCTTCATTAAAACAACAGGAAAGATAGTGTCATTCACAATGAAATCACTACTGAATGGATATGTGGCTGGTAGGTACAAAGTAGATATATCCTGCTTTGCGTCAGGATTGTCTTGCATCGTTTCAAGGAGACCTTTAACCGCTCTTAAGGCACTGTCCACCTCATTTGGCTCCAGCTCGTTTGCCTTACACTGACCGTGTAACATGTCCAACACCATAGCATAGTGCGAAGGTGTGACAGAAGGGGAACATCCCAGATATTTAAACAGTGTCTTGAACTCACTGAGTTCACCGGGCATTCCGTAAAGGAACGGCTTGATCTCAAGGTTCTTGTACAATTCAATGATTACTTGTTTGGCATAAACAAAACGTCCACCTTCCTCGACCAAAAGGCAAGGGATGTGCTGAAGGCGTTCTTTTGCAGTAATGCTTAACACGGCTTTTCGTTGAAGGAACCTGTAGATATTCGACATTACTGACGTCCGTATCTGTTGCTGATCAGGTCGAGGAGTAACATCGTTTTCTTTTGCCAGTTGACAGGATACATTTTGGCAGTGAAAAATAACCATATCCACAGTTGGTTCTGCGAGAATCTGGAGTTGGGAAAGAATGGCATTGCAAACATCACTGGCACATTTCCAGCCTTTAGGAACTGTAATGTTATACTGATAATTCCTTGGATTTGCCCAGTTTGGAAGAACAGCTGCTGTCGTCCAAACTATCTTTGTGTGTTTTGCTAACACAGAACCTTTGAATGAAATGTATGGTGCCTGACCATCCCTACCTCCACCGAACGGACCACAGATATTCCGAAGTTCTTGCCCCACAGGATCTGCAGCCACAAAGCGGACGTCACGGACTTCTTGAAGGACGTCTTCTTCTACAACATCCTCTCGGTTGAAAAGGTGTTTTACTAGAACTCTCGATTTTTCATCAGTTTTCGCAGTCTGCTGTCTTGCACCCTCGCGGGCAACTTCAGTAGCAAACGTCTTGAAAAGATCTTGGGAAACTTCATAGATTAATCCAATGCGTTTCAAAAACAACAGCCATTCATATTTGTTGAAAGGCTCTGGTGGAAACTTGTCTTCAGAAAGCATTATTTTGAAAACATCATTGTGGGGATAGTAGTATGAAGATGCTTTCTGCAAAGTCCCATCTTCGGAGGTAACAATCGCTGTGTTCTTCAAACAAGTTAGCAACCTCTCCTTGTCACTCTCACCGGTTGATGTCAATGTTGACGTCGATGTTGATGTCAAAATAGAATCACGGATGTACTTAAGGTGAGCGAGCCGTCCTTCCGAGCTAAAAATATCAAAATTCTTCAAAATGAAATTACAATATACGGCGACTGCCGAGAGACACTCGAAACCTAGAAATTTGAAGAGTGGGGACAGACTGTGCCAGCCTTCCAAAAACACCACATGTAGTTGAAGGCTTAACTCTTCCATCTCTTTCCGTGGAATGCCAATGGGAAGGGCGCATACCTTTGTACTATTTACACTGATGAGGCCACCATGTGTTGCTTGATAAAAAGGAAGTCTTCTTAGCACCTTCTTGTCGCTTTCTTGTAGATTTTCAACGTTGTTGCTGAAATACTCCAAAATGGTCCTGCATTGTCCATTTTTCAGTTTTCCTTCAAGAGCTTGTGGGTATATCTTCATCTTCTGCTCCAAGGATTTGACGAGGGTTGCTGGTGTTTTTAGCGAAGCTACTAACTTGCTGGCAAGATGGAAGGAATCCAACGACAAAACAGCATAGTTTACTTCAGCCAGGTCGAGCATTTTCAAAGCCTCAACAAGTGGACGACTATTAGCATCTGGACCTGTGAAATCAAGAACAGATTCTGCTAGAATCAAGGGCACGAGGAAATGTTCTGGTACCACAACCAAAGCACTTTCACTAGAGGATCTTGTCATTTGGATCGTCTCTGTGCAAGGAAGGACGCTCCAGTTTGAGAGAGGCTGAAGAAGTGTACGAATTCTTCTGACTTCGTGTTGCTTTATTTCACAAATGCTTGTGAACTGCTGTTCACTTGACTCAATTTCCTTGAGGACAATTTCTGTTTCTTCATTCAGGAAAGTCCAAACCTTGTACAACCAAGGTTGATTTGGTACTGAGCCTTGTGTAGGAGACCACCGAACGTACCCATCTGCGCTGCAATATTCACCTGGTAGAGTTCGATGCAAGTTACTAGCGAAGTCCTGTACTCCAAAACGCTTGAAGACAGGGAACTGTAGACATGACACATGGCCAAAGACTTGTATCCTTACTCGTTCATGAACAAACATTTCTTTGCAATGCGGTAGAATTCCATGATGACGCGAGAGAAACTTCGGACTAGAAGTGCTGAATTCTTGCAAACGATTGTCTTGAGTTACAAGTAGGGGAAGTCCTGGCAGGTTTGGCAAGAAATGTTCGTCATCCTTGCAGTACTTAAGCACGAGTGTGACACTGTCAATGTTCTTAAATGGTGTCTTTGTAACATCAACATAAGTCGATCCAATGCGGCAAAGGGGATCTTCATTATTGAAAGTCTTGTAGAACTCCATCACAGAAGAAGGAGACACGCAACGAGAACTCACACCTGCTTCTTGAAACGCTGAGTATACAGATAAGAAACATTTTACAAGGTTAAATCCCGTTTCCAGTAGAATTTCTTCAAAGGACGTTTTCAGCTCCAATCTTCGTTTCTCTTCCTTTTCAGGATCGTTTTGAAGAGAAAAATCTCCTGGTCGGGGCGCAAAACAATCGCTTTCTCCAAGATTGTTGAAGAACGCTTCGTCTTTCCCTTCGCCTGTTGGAGGAAGCCATTTTAGATTAACTAATGGAGTGGCAGCTTCTGATAGTGTACTTCGCACCACTGGAAGAAGTCTTAATCTCTTTTTGTCCATTCCTTGATACACGGATCTTACCAAAGTTTCCCAGTACGGATTGCCTGAGACTACCAATGGAAACAGATTCTCGTATTCCTCGATCTTTTCTACCAAGGCATCTTTACTATAGTCCGGCGTAACGTCTTCAGCGCTGTGTGTAATTGGCAAATGAAGGTAACACCTTACCTCATCCAAAAGTGTTAAATAACACGAGGCTATCACATCTCTCAGCAAAGCGTTATTCCAGTCACTGCGATAGCCATTACCTTGGTCTCTCCAAAGATTTCTTCTGGCTTCATGGTCCAGTGCAAAATGACCATTGACATGGACTGGAAGATCGGTTTCTAAAGGAAGTGGAAGAAAGCAGTAAGCTTTTTTCCTGGTAGTCCCTGAGTCCCCCTGCTTGGAATTCTGCTCCAAAAGGCAAGCGATACCACCGCGCGGAAGCATTCCCAGATCACCCTTTTTGTACGCTTCCACGATGCTTGTTGGTACTTCGTTATCAAATCCAATTTTCCTGACAATGAGCCACTTTTCTTCTTTGCCAAGACTGTCTCGTAACCTCAGAGCATAAGAGCAGTCTTTCACCTTGACGTTCCCTGGAAAAAATTGGTCTGATTTATCACCTGTCTTTGCAACTTGTTTGACGTAGGTGGCAAACTGTTGCCTCTTGGTTGCATCCTCTTCTGACATTTCTGCTTCTACGGAATAAGAGTTCACCACCTTTCCACTTTCTTCATCGATGTCACACAGAGTGATCTTCCTGACGTTATTCACAAAAAGCAGAACTTCAAATAATTCTCCTTTAAGTGCCTCCATCATGTCACCTAAGTCTGGCAGCGTTACTGGAGAGTTCGAAATCTTGGAGTTATCTGCCATCTCTTTGGTTCTCAGTGGAAAACGGAACATTGTTGAATTTTGCATTGGAAACTCCTGATAAT